AGTAGAAATTGCTCACCATGGTTGTGAAAGAGTACTACAATACATGTCACCAACTTGACAATTTCAGCCATAACGACAGCTGTAGATGATAGATAACGTGGGCCTTCATGCTTCTGTAACAATTAGTTAGGAGAGCAAGGTAATTAAAAGGTGAGATGTAAAAGAGGGGCAGAAATAACCAAGTAATAGGGGCCATCTAACCATGAGAGTGCGCAGCGATGAGTATGCTCCCAAACTCCTTGCATGGCCGTACCCGCGCCGCTCGCCCCGCCGATGTGTAAGCGCTCGCTGTCCGACTCTTGCCGTTTACCAGAGTTTTACCGTTGAGGAAGGCAGCACTGACGCTAGTCACATCAATGTTGACATCAACGGGTAAAGGAGGGGTCCCATTTTTCGAATTTGGGGCCGTTTCTCAGTTCTTTTCATAGTACCTGCACCACTGACCCCCTCGACCTTGCTTTTTGATAAACCGAATTTTATACTAAACCCGATTTTAACGGCGTGAAAGAGCAGGGATGGGAAAACGTAAGCGAAGCACTAAACGATCAAAGAAAAAATAGAGCACGTGCCTTATCCTTTCTACGTACACCAAGCCATTCAAACAGATCAGCAGAACCTGCGACTACAGCCGCGGATATTGAGCGCACGGTCGCGTAACATTTACTTATGAAGAAATGGAAGGTAAGGCTCAAGCACGGAGTTTATAATATGTAGAGGCTTTGATGTGACCCTCACTAATAACCGTGAGTTGCACGCATTTCCCTCAACCACCACCTTAACGACCTTAATCGTGTACCACGCGATTGCGGTCCTCACTTAGGATACGGTATGTGACCATGTTGCAGTTAGAGTGTGGAAAAGTCTGGTGTCAGGATGCGCGATTCGGCTAGGTAGTCGTGCGGTGCAGGTGGTGCTTGTCTAGCAGCTGTGACTACATTTACTGGACTCTTCACCGAGTAAAGCATAAAGCATAAAGCATTTGCCGTTGATCAATCCCTTTTTGGGATGCGGCACGCATTCTACTTCCATTTGTACATTCGTAGTGGCGTTTGAATGCGATGTGGCCTATACAATGACTTGCGGGGGTACAAGTCAGTGTTTTTATCCTCCCAGACAAGTCTGGTACCAATTAACCGACCCCGGAGGGATGGAAGGCTTGGTTGGCCAAGACGGGTGTGGTTCACTAGGACAGAAAGCGACTTTCGCGTTTCACAGAGCAAAACATTTTCCGCTGCGGGGACCTCAGGCCCACCGCTCGGGCGCATGCATAGTCGGTCGTCCGACAGCAACGATCGTAACTGTCGCACAGCATTCGATGCGTATCGATCGTCAGACTTGCCTGAGTATTCGACGTCACATCACGTATCGTTACGGTCGGACGACCGACTATGCACGCGCCCTTCCGGTCCTTCCGAGGTTCCCACAGCGAATCATCAGTGGACCCGAGATCAGCAGCGAACAACGCGCTGCGAAACGCGAAAAAGTCGCTTTCTGTCTTAGTGAACCACACCCGGCCAAGACGACGCACGACCCACGTTCGATCCCCGGACCACAAGCGAGGTAAACAGCGCCACTTGCCACTACATCCATCCGTCCTCTCCACCATGTGAAAGACATAAATGAAATGATGGGACGAACCATGAAACTAGTTCCCGTTCATTGCAAACAGAAGGTATCTTTTAGATCATCCACAGAATCATTTGGGAGCATCCTTGATAACGTCCAAACAACTTTTTGGCGCAAGGTGCCTCCGGAGGGGGAGGGAGGAGGGGCACCTCGTAGAAAAGCCATTAGGACTAAGCCAGACGGAGAGGGACGAACTTTGGAGAGTATTGGAATTGCTGACGCACCTCACGCACCTCAGAGCCTCTTTCCTTTTGTAAGGCTTTGTTCTAAAACGGAGCGTTTCGTGACCCTGACACGCCCCGAAAGCCCAACTGTGCCAAGTTTTTCTTTAACTCCATCAAGAAAAACTCAACCAACCTGAGTTCTCGAATATCGCAGTATCAGTACAAGAGCAGTGGTCTGGGCGATAAGGACAACCAGAGAAACGTACTTTAGGTTCTTACCCGCCGCTCCTGTCGTCATGTCTGAATGTCTGAAAAAGATTTTATAGCTCTTTTGTAGCAGTAAACAAGCAATTCGGAGCAAATCATGCTAATTTCAAGCATTTGTAAATAAAAGAACAAGCCCCATGCGGCTTGAAGCCCATTGCCAACAAAGCTGCTGACGTGACATTCCACCAATGAGGTACGCAATTTCGCGGACGCACAAATGCACTAGCATGTTACTAGTTGGCATTACTTCATTTGCTTTGAAATAACTTTGTTATTTTAACAAGTGTCCTGTGTCGCTGTGTTCTGTTCCATTTGTTGTAGTTTATTTTTTACCAGTGTTGTATTTGGGTTTTTGCTCGACTTCGAATTGGTCGGTACGGCTTGATTTAACATCCAAAAGGTGAAATATTGTTTTCAATTGGGAAAATTTCTGGCTTATATTCAATAAAGTGGCTGTTTATGCCTGCTCTTGAGCCTGATTGTGGGGGGGGGCATTCCAGTGTTCTCCCTCTCTTGGGCTTAGTTCTAATACCACCTTCAATCAGCCCTGTTTGTAGATGTCCCCCCCCCCTCCCAAGGACATGAGCGCCGTCAACTTTATACACAAGTTTACACCGAATTTGCTGATACGACACTTGTTCTTAGCAAATTCGGTGTAAACTTGTGTATAAAGTTTTGGTGTCCTGATTACGAATATGACATTCGTTTTCGACATTAGCGCTGTTCACGCATATTACCCGTTTCCCTGGGCTCTCTCACCAATGCTCAGAAGTGCCTGCGACTGAGCTTAGGTGGTAGATGAAAGAAGCACCATGTGGTAAAAGTTGCGTGTGAATCACAGGAATGAGTAGCTTACTCACCTCGGAGCCCTCCTCTTCCCGAAGGCTTAGTCCTGATCACGATCTATCAGTGAGAGGGCGCAGACGAGCAGAAAATAGGCGCTAAATAGCGCCAGCGCCAAGAATGAATGTCATATTCGTAATCAGGACACCAAATAACCCCTATACAGAAGTTTACACCGAATTTGGTGAAAACAAGTGTCGTGACAAGGTGACGCCAACTGGCGCCAGATGGCGCCACCGCTAAAAATGAATGTCATTTTCGTAATCATGCCATCGAATACGGGCAAAGATTTGACGAAAAATAAGGTTTTAATAGTACGCTGTAATAGTTGAGTAGTACCGCTTATTTGTTCAGGTATGGCATATTTTCGAAGCTTTTTCGGTGGAGGTGGAGCAGAAGCTGAAGAGGAAGATGGAGCTGAAATTGTGGAGAAAATGGTGGAGCGTGCCGAGACTTGTACAGCACTCGAAGATCGGCGAGATGCACTTCGAGCACTTCGTGGCATGGCCAAAGTAAGGCTCTCGCTTTTTTGCGAAACAAAGTTTTGACTCTAGGGGCTGTTGAAGAAAATGATGTTCGATTACAAGGCGCTTTCCGGTACGAAAAATTGGGGAGGGAGGGGATGGCAAATGCAGATGATTTCGACGTTAAATGGCTCTCAGCGAGTGTAAACTTTTATGTTGAATGGAATTTTGTTTTAATAACTCCATTCACTACAAATCGGATTGATTAGGTTCACCAGGCTGAAATCAGAGCAAACAAGTTCACACCAGCTTGATATAGTTTCACCTAATGCATGCAATTCGTTTTAGAACATCGGTTTAATTCCTGCGGTGGGGGAGAAGTGAATTGTGCTGAATAGTGGTAGACTTTTACTATATGTTTGAGGCTTTTTAAGTCTTGTGTTATGTCGGTCTACTTACGAGCGATTAATTTAGAAGCTGCGATTAGCTGTTGGTACAATGGGTATGAATGTATATATGGACGTGTTGGAAAAGGAAAGATCAAACCAAGAGCTTCTCGCTATAACTCTGGAAATTCTCGTAGCAGTTCTAAGCAGCGATGATGAAAGCACGGATGACGACGAGCTTGGGGAACGTCTAGCTGAGGTTGGTTTTGTGTTGTTCGCTTACAATACTTTGCTTCTTGTATCGGTACTTTTACATAATTCTTTGCAGGTCATGCTGAAAAAGCCAGTTTTCATCCCATCACTTCTAACTGCAGTAGATGATTATGACATAACTGTTCGTCGGTGAGCCTCAATTTCCTATTCTCAAAGTAGGGGCAATTTCGAATCCACTTTACCTTTTGATTCCCATGTAGTCCAGTGGTTAGGACTTACTCTCGAGGAACTAAATAATCTTTTGATGGCATGCTCGACGGCAGCTAATGTTTCTGCATTCCTGCTAATCATGCGATCCGCTAGCGATTGGTCACAGAGACTGGCATCAGCAGAGCCGGACAGAAGGTCCCTTCCTATTTTGTCTCAGCAACACCCCTGCTATTGCTTAAGAGACATCCCATTAATTTGATTATTTTGCCATTTTACTGTAGTTTTGTGGCCAAATGTAACCATTCATGGCCTTTTTTCTTTACTTTTTAATTGGTTGTGAGAAATCTATTGTTACAACTCGTCATTTTATCCAGTTGGTTTTTCCTCCACCCTAAAATATGACCTACTGCTAGAGAATATAATTCGAGTGCGGTCATATTTGTGACTGCCTCCTTTTCGTTTGCACTCCAGGTGTGGAATAAATACGTATCGATCATGCAATCGCAAGATTGCATGATCGTAACTACTACACATTCGAGATGTAAAACGGTCGTAATTGCGACCGCCACCTCATGATTTCACATAACACCATCTTTACTGTTGCTCTAGAGATGTAGCCATACTTGGCTATAGAGGTGAACGACAAGCAAGATGATCGTTCCTTTATGATTACTCATCACTGAAAGGCAGGCATCAGACTTTGCAACCCTGGAGAGATTTGCCCTAATCACGCGATTCGCACTGTCATTGCAGCATCCCACACGAGGGTCGCAAACTCTGACACCTGCCTGAGCTGGAGATACCGACATCAGTTGTGGACTTTTATGCAAACATTTTCTTATCGTTCTTCTAACAAACTAGAGGTCCTTTGTAGGAAAGAGAGGTCATTCACACGAATAAGATTGTTCATGTAAGCTTAGTTTTCAGGGTTGGGATACAATTGCTAACTTCACTGCTTCGTCACCGCGGCCCCGAAGTACAGGCAGCCGTGATGGCTCAGCCAACTGGTGTTCCTCATCTCGTGGATATTGTTCACGACCGGCGCGAAGTAGTTCGAAATGAAGCTGTCTTAATGCTCTGTGAACTAAGTAGATCAAATTCACAGGTAATGATATCTGCATTCCTTCAGTAGAAATCTGCTGTGAACACGCCGTTGCAGATTCAACAGCTGCTGGCATACGAAAATGCTTTTGTTCATCTCTTGGATATCATCGATACAGAGCCACTGGATAGTGAGTTGCTGGATATGTTTTCGAGATCCTTTTTTACCACCTTTCGCATTGTTTTCTAAAATTTAATGTTTTGGAATTTCGATTGCTTATCTGTTCTTTTCAGGTATTATCATTGAAGACTGTTTATTTGTTATATTGAACCTGCTCAGAAAGAATGCGATGAATCAACAATTGTTTAGGGAGAATAAGTAGGTTTCCCGTGTTATAATGGATTTGTACGGAACTTGAATTCTTCATTTCAAAGTGCAATGTGAGCTTGAATTGGTCGCATTGTCGAGTGAACTCAGAAGTCATCTTTTTCTTAGGCAGTTTTATTAAGTGTGTGAATAATTAGATCCAGAAAATGAGGATTTTATTCCAAATATTTACCACTATTCTACATAGTAGGGGTCCGTCCATACGAAACTATTTACTTGAAGGTTTAGTTGGTGGTCCACTGGATATATCTTATGTAGAAGCTGACTAAAAGGAAATATCCAAATTGGACTCATCCCTGCTTATTTTAGCTTGATCGCTCGTTTGGGAGTGATGCTTAATACGTTCCTATATGGTTCAGAAGAAGATGAAACCGATAGCTTAGAGTGGGTAAAACAACGAACCGCGAACATAATATTCCTTCTACAAGTTATAAGGTAGTTGCACTCATTTTTCTTCCTTAGTCTGGTTTTTTTTTTACAAATTTTCCTTGTCTATTCTTAACTTGTTTTATAGAAGTTTGGTGAGTCCCGACAATGCAGTCAGCAACACTCATGCTGCTCAAAAAGCTCTCCATCAAACAAGTGAGGTCTTTTCTTTTTTATGTTATTTTATCCATTACTCATCATATATCATGTTCTTTTTTATCTGCAATGTTATCTTCCTGAAGAACTAGTAGATTTTTTCTTGCAGTAGGGAGCATTTGGTGAACATTGTGAATTTCCTAATGTGGGATAGAATTGGTTCATGAAGTCATGCAGTGCTTACTTTTTTGTGGACCATTTTTTTCTAGTTCATGGAACTGTGCTTAGCTGTCCTTAGATGGTTGTTTGGGAGGACATAGCCATGTGTTCCCGTAGCGGAGTAGGACGATAAGGGCGCAAAAAATGCGAAAGAGCCTCGAAAGTTTCCGAGAAAGTGGAGAATTTTATGGGAATTTTGCGAAAATTCCAGAATTTTTGTTGTTTTCATCGAGTGTGTGCCCACCTTACCCTGGCTAGCCATTTTAGTATGAAGCCAGGTGTGGTTCCTGGTAGGATGGA